TTTTTTTTTTTTTTTCGTCTGTGATGTCCAACTTTTTTCCGTCCAAAGGATGCAATCAAATCAATATTGATTTATTTTGGTTCATCTATAGCATTCAACTTCAGAGAAGAATTTTGTGGTGTTGGGCCACTTTACTTCCCAAAATAATTAAATAAAATATACGAGCCCAATAATAAAAATAATGGAAACAAGGGCTAGGGCCCAGAAGGGAGAAAACAAGAAAAGGCTCATTTACAAATAGGCTAATTTACATACATTCTACATTTTTTTGTAAATAATTGCAGTTTTACATTTGGCAACAAAGAATTTGTATCAATACTCAACTCTTCCAAAATAATTATACTATTGCATAAAATTTGTTTCCAGATCAGAAAGTGCCTTAACTGATTAAATGTTGTATATGTTTAACTCCAATTTTTTGCATTTAAATTTTTAACATCAATTATATTTTTTTGATAATTAGCTCGTTCAGCCCAAAGCCTGCTAGGATTAAATTAAAATTAGAATTGCATAATTTTAGCTCATATTTTGAATAACTAATATTATAAATTTAATAACTAATATATAGTAATTGTTAACTCATTATTTATATATTGTGTGTGTATTTATGAATTTATTTATTTTTTAATAGGATAAGAAGCATGGGAACTGGTGGCTACAAGTGAACGGGGAGTTAGTTGGTTACTGGCCATGGAAATTATTCACACATCTTAGGGATTTTGCAAGTATGATCCAATATGGGGGTGAAATTGTAAATACAGAAAGTCTCACACATCTTAGGGATTTTGTAAGTATGATCCAATTTGGGGGTGAAATTGTAAATACAGAAAGTTCAGGTCTCACACCACCTCACACCACCACTGGAATAGGCAGTGGGCATTTTGCACAAGAAGGGTACGGAAAAGCATCTTATTTCCGAAACATCCTTTTTGGTTGATTCATCAAATATTCTAATCCCAGCGACAAGTCTTACATTTGAGACCGAAAAGCCAAATCTATATATATAATTGCTGGCAAGCTTCATTATATTTTATTCAGCCATCAATAAAAATATGGTTCATTTTATAAAAATCTTTATGACTCTTAAAAAACCGTTACAACATCTTTTATTTTTTTTTTCTTTTAATTTGTTTCATACAATTATCCACCTATTTTTTTTACTATATTTTGGGTTTGTAACGGTTACATGAGATTACGATTTTTTATTTCTCTATATTTGGGGCATGTAACTGTTGCATGGCGACGAGATAATGTTTAAACCTTTAAATTTGAATGGTTATTTTTTTTTTTAATTTGTATGTTGATTATTCACATGCAAAATCCTCCCTATATATAATTCCAGAATGCGCTGAGCCTACGTGGCTGTTTCTGGTGCTTCGGAATCCTATTTGGCGAAGAATCATGCTTCGTAATTAGGTTTGGATAAATA